AGGAATACAGAACTTGTCTCTTGCTTGAAGACTGAACTTATGTCAATCTTACAAAAAAAAACCCACTGTGAAAAATGACCTTTTGTTTTGTTTCTCTGAAAATTAAGACTGTGTTTAATTAAATTAAGACCTTTATGTTTTAACATGATATTTGATTGGTTATGCCAAGGATTGTGGAACCTTGTCAGTCTCCCACATGGAAAAGGATGAACAGTAATGCTCCTTAGGTTCAGTCTTTCTGTCTCAGAAGATTCCAAGTGATCGTGTTCACATGGCTGATAGTTAGCAGCAAATGCCTGGAAGAAAAAAAAATTCCCCCAGCTGCTTCCTCATCAATAAAACTGGGATTTGCTTTTATTGATGAAAGATTTTCTGTTTGTTGCCCTGCTAATTCAAGCTAAATGGAAACGGGCAGCCTTTAGTGAGGAGTGGGCTACTCAGTATAAGAGTGGCTAAATAAGTTTGAGTTCCTTCATGTATATTTCTGGCATAAGCAATGAGGAACCCCCCCAGCATCTCTTTGGGAATTTTCCTTTCTTCTCTCCCTCTCCCCTGCTTTCCCCCTTTCCATCCGAGTTACTGACCTGGGATCCTTTCCCCCCTTCACACTCTCAACTCACTGTTTCCATGGGCATCTACAGCTGTTACCTCTGGAACCAGATGCTCATAATAAAGGAAAGGTACACTGCAGCCTACCTGGATTGTTTACCTTAGTTTTGCTTCCTAACCTAGGATGTGTTTCAGTAACATTCCTCTAACAATACCACTCCATGTAAATACTGCCACTTTAACAACTGTTCCAATTTCTGCATTGCATGTAGGGTAGCTGCCCAGGTGCTTTGGGGAGAAATGGGTGCAGAAAGGATGTATTATCCCTTAAAACTTGGTATGCATCTGTTTAGCTTTGTTGCTAATGATGAATGAAAGTCTTTGTGCTACGCAAAGAATGAACAGAACTCAGCACTTGTATTTCTGTTCACATGTTTGAAGCACAGACCTACAGATTATATTCTTTTATATGAATGTTACCCTCAGTATAAATAGAAAGTAGTTTTTGAACTTGGACTAGAACGTTAAGAGAGAATTTCTCTCCTGCATTTTGTGTGAAGCTGTGGGCTGAGCCTACAGTATCATGCCAGTGTAAAGCTCTGCCTTCTCAAAGCTTTGGGAAGGCCTGTTAGCACTGATTAACTTTGTGGATTTAGAGACGTTTACAGTCTGGAACTTTGTTCAGATTTCTCTACCCCTAAAGCACATGCAGCAGCTTTGCTGTGACGGGCATTTTTTCCTTGGTTGGTGGGGCCATGTACAATGCTCTTGTTTTACATTCTTGTGACCTATCTGTAATCATAACAGGACAGTATGAGCCTTCATTTTGCATCCTTTCCCCATGGTTTTTGTGCCTTGATTTCGTGGAGTGCTTAGGCATGTGTATCTCAGTCCATGTGACAGTCTTGCTCTAAGAGCTCACTGAAGTGGAGCATTCAGTGTTGTTCACAACTGGAAAAACTTGGTGCAAATTCTGACTTGGATTCTCCATGTTCTGCCACCCAAATTGCACAGAACGTAGTGCAACAGGCATGTGGTTCTGAGAGTGTTTCAGGTTTTTTGTATTTCCACAGCCATCACTTCCTGCAGTCTGCCTTACAGCCCCGACTTCTGCAATTTTAACTAGCTTTCTGATTTTCTTTGTTGCTTCCCCTTCCCCCCTCATTGTTTTGCTCTCCTGTTCCTTTTCAACCTCGATGACTTTTCTTTAACTATTTAGAGCAACTTCTTTTGCTCTAGCCTCGGTTCATTGCTGGAAGGATTCCTGCAGCTCCAGCTTTCTGACAGCCACAGTTCGTGGCCACCCCAGCTGTCCTGAGAATGTTAGCCATGCTGCCACGCTGCACTTGGATTTCACTGATGCATTCGTGGAGGTTTTGGGGTTTTGTTTTTAATCAACCCTCAATTATATGGCTTTTCTTTTAACTACTCTGGAAATGACATTATTATTCTCTTTGGCCTGCAGTTGTATTAGGCAATGTGCACTTAAATACCTTACCATAGTAAGTGAAGTACATCTGATTTGCTCACTGTATCCTGGAGAAACTTCAGCAGAAATTTTCAAAGTGCTTTTTGCGGGGTAAGAAAGCTTCATCCATACCCAAAAGGCGTCTGTTATCTGGCTTCCAAAGTTACTATGCTCAGTGGGCATGCCGAGCTGTTGATTCTAGGCTGGCCTTGCAGCAGATACCAGTGTCACCATGACATCCATTGACTCACACAGGAACCATTTAATCATGGTAGGAGCACTCAGCAAGGTTTCTACCCAGGCAGCCGCTCCGAAAGTCACTCTCCTGCCCATGGTGCTTTGAAACTTACTGCCCCAAAGCAGCAGTTTGCAACCTGTGTGAGAGCACCGGCCTTTCTGGCACAGCAGGGATCAGCTTTATCCTCAGGGTACTTTCAACTTTGCCCATCTACGGGATAGCCCCTAACTCGGCTGACAAAGGGGAAGTGGTTTCAGTATGTTGCTCTGCAAATACGTATTTTCTGTGTTATTTATGGAGCTCCTCCCATTGATATGACTAGCTGGGTTATCTGTGGGGCATTACTTGTTCCGAAGCTGCTATTGATTAAATGCTGAGATGTTTTTTTTTTAGAAGCTGTCATTGGAACATGCTTAGGCTGCATTTGCTGTCAGCTTAGCAGTCATGTTGCTGCATCTTCTTCTGAATTCCTCTCCCAGCTGGGCTCTTTCATTTCTTAGCATTAAAATAGATTCTTCCTAATTAGACAGATCTCTGTCATGATAATCATCTTCTGAACGTATGCTGTATATTCATATTGCGTCTCTTTTCACAGATGAGGCCCATGCTTTGTAATTTTTCAGAATCGTAACTGACTGAATAGATCCTTTACCAGGCAATCATCTCCTGTAACCCTCAATTAGTGCCCTGCCAACCGATACTGGCAGGCATCAGCGAGTGCACCATATATCCTTCGCCCCTTGGGAATGTATATAGTTCCCCAAACAGCAGATTTCGGCTGTAGTGTTTCAGGAGCCTCAGCGTTAGCATCCTTAAATAAAAGCGACCCAAAACCAAACGGTGAAACCTCACGGCTATTGCCGGCTATTTTACAACCGCCACTCAGCTTCCAGCACCGAGCTCTGGCTACCGCAAAACTTCCCCGAAACCTGCCGAAAGCTCACGGATGGCAGCACGGCGCCGAGCCAGGAGCGGGACCCGGAGATCCGCGCGGGTCCTCGCCGCTCCGTGGGGTGCCGGTGCTCGGCGCACGGCGGGCTGCAGGGGGCACTACGGGGAGCTCCGGAGCGGCGGGGCTGAGCTCTGCTCCTCGGCCGCTGCCGGGGAGAGTTCAGGGGGGAGAAGGGGGACGAGCCCGCGTGCCCCCGCCGGCCTCGCGAGGCGCTCATTGCCGATCGGTGTCATTTGCCCGCTGGTAAGGATTTAGTCTGCTCGTGGCCGGGAGCTGTCGCAATAGGAACGCGATAAAAGCCAACTTTGAGGCTGCCGAGGAGACAAAGGCGGCTTTTTGCCGCTGTCGGGAGCTCGGAAGCCGTGCCCTGTGCCAGCGTGCCGCGGCACAAACGGGGACGGCGTAGGTCAGCTCCCACGCCCGGTGCGCGAGTTCCCACTTCTCCCTGTTTCCAGCGGCGCGTTCCAGAAGAGGGGTGTCCCCGAAAGACGGGGCTCGGCTTCACGCGTCTCTGTTCAACAAGGAGTTGGCAAACACCGGCTGACACTTTGAACGCGAGAGCCGCGCGCGTACGGAGCGCTCCGGCCGCTGCCGTCCGGTTGCGGGCGACCCGGCAGCGCTCCCCGCCGCATCAAACGCAGAAGTTCGGCGGGCTCGAGCCGCTCGCTTCTCGCCGTTCGTTATGCAGCGGTTTACGCCGGAGGGAAACGCGGCGTGCCCCCCCGCGGGGCCGCCGCTCCGGGCACGGCGGGGAGGGGAGCCGAGCGGGGCGGCAGGTGGCGGCCGCGCCGAGCCGCGCGGCGCCGGGGGGCCCGGCCGCGTCCGCTCCTGCTGGGCGGCGTCCGCGCCGGGTTTTGCACCTTGTCCCCGGGTCTGCCTCCCGGCCCGGGGAGCCGCGCCGTGCGCCGAGCGCTGCCGCCCTGTATCACTCCGCTGGCACGGAGGGGAGGAGGAGGAGAAGAGGAGGAGGAGAAGGAGGAGGAGGAGGAGGGCCCTCGATCATTGTGGCGGCGGCGGAGCGCGGCGCCCGGCTGTGTGAGCGCGGCGCTCCGCACGGGCTCGGCGGCTCCGCTCTCCCCGGCGCGGCCCCGGCTCGTGCATGTGCGGGCCGGCCGCGGGCCGAGGCGTGCCGCTGGGTTCCCGTTGCCATGCAGCCCGGCAGCGCGAGTACTTTGCGAGCGCGGCGCGGCACGAGAGCCCAAACTTTTCTCTAGGAGGAACGTACAATGAGCGAGCGGCCGTGCCCGCCCCTGGGTGCCGGGGCGCGCGAGTGAGTGTGCGGCGTGTGCACGGCGCGTGCGAGCGTGGGCGCGTGCGGAGTCCCCGCGTGTGCGTGTGCCGTCCCCGCGTGCGCGTGTGTGTGCGTGCGGAGGGGCGCGTGTTCCCCTCACCCATGGGGAGCGCGGGCTCTGGGAGCGACCTCCGGCGGCCCCGCGGAGCCGCTCTGGGCACCACGGATCGCGGAGGAGCCGCGGGAGGCGAAGAGCCGCGCTGAGCCCCGGAGTTGGCCGCCGCCGCCGCTCAGTTGTTGCGCCGCTTCCCGGCGGTCACCCCCGGCACCTTCCCCGCTCGCCGCACCCCCTCCCGCCCCCCCCGCCGCGCTCCGCTCTTCTCCTCCTTCATGTTTTGGAGCTCCTCGAGGGGGATTGGCTGGGGGCGAGGAGCAGCGCTCGCCGGGGATCGCCGCTTCCCCGCTACATGCCGGTGCCCCCCCCGCCCCGCGGGGCTGTGAGCGGGACCCCGCGGGGGGCAGCGCGCCGAGTTCCTCCGGAGCGGCGCGCGCGGGGCCGGGCATGGGGGATTTCGCGGCCCCGGCCGCCAACGGCAGCAGCGTCTGCATCAACGCCGGCCTCGGCGGAGGGCTCGCCGGGGCCGGCGGCGGCGGCGGCGGCGTCCCCAAGCACAGCACCGTGGTGGAGCGGCTGCGGCAGCGCATCGAGGGCTGCCGGCGGCACCATGTCAGCTGCGAGAGCCGCTACCAGCAGGCGCAGGCGGAGCAGCTGGAGCTGGAGCGCAGGGACACCGTGAGCCTCTACCAGAGGACGCTGGAGCAGCGGGCCAAGAAGACGGGCGCGGGCGGCAAGCAGCCGCCGCCGAGCAAGCAGCCGCAGGACGCCGAGCCCGCCGCGGCCGAGCAGCGCAACCACACGCTGATCATGGTAAGGGCCGCTCGGGGGGCGCGGCGCGGCGCGGCGGGAGGACAAACTTTTTCCCCGGCTCCTCCGGCGGGGGTTTGGGAGAGGGACCGCGTTGCCGGGGGCCGGAGCCGTGCTTGGGGACGGTGCGAGGCTGCCCGCCTGCGGGCCGGGGGCTCTCGGGGCGAGCGGCAGCCGGCGCTCGGGCGCTGCCTAAAGTTTTCTCGGGTTTTAAGGAGCTCGGCGAGGAGCGGAGCGGGGGGGGGCAGGGGGCGGAGGCTGAGCCGGTCGGAGCGCGGCTGCGAGTAGGAAGCGGAGTTTCCCACTCCCAGACTGCGCCGATGATGAATAATAAGAGGCGGTGCGGGGGGAGCGGGGCCGCCGGCCGCGGCCGTACGGGGAGCGGTGGCCGCGCGTTCCTTCTGCCGTGTGTGTCCCGACGCGTCCCCGCACCGCGCTGCCCGGGGGCGGGCGGCCGCTCTCTGTCTGCCGGGCGCACAATGGGCGGCGGGGGGAGGAGGACGAGGAGGAGGAGAAAGAGGAGGAGAAAAAGGGAGGCGGCGGCGGCGGCGGGGCTTCCGAGCGCCGCACGTCCCTCCCGCGGACCCTCCCTCGCCCATCCCGGGCCGAGCCGAGCCCTGCTCCCGGCGCCCCGGCGGCGGCGGCACCTTCCTTCCCCCCGTCCCTCCCCGCGGCCCCGCTTTGTCTGCCCGTTCCGACGCGCGGGGGGCGGGGGTGGCTCCTCCGGCGGCAGACAAAAGCTCCGCGCTGCCCCCCCCGCCTCCCGCCCCTCGGCCGCCTCCCGGCCTCTCCCCGGGGGCCCGGCCCGGCCCGGCCGCGTAGGGGCAGGGCGCAGCGGCGACCACACAAAGCGGGGGCGGGGGGAGTCCGCGCGCAGGAAGCGGAGAAGCCTCCCGCTGGCATCTCGCCGCTCTCCTGCCGCTGCCGTGGGGGCACGGCCGTTCCGACTAACCGCGGGGCTGCCGGCGTTCTGCCCGCTCCGGGCCGTGCTCTCCTCGGCCCCGGCCCCGCAGCGCTGCCGGGTTGCGGTTGGGCAGCTCGAGGGTTGGTCCTTCTCCGTGTGTCTGGGCGGGCTGCCGTGCTGAATTTGCGGGCAGCGACGGGGCGACGCGGCTGCGGCCGTCCGTGTTCTTTTGCTTCGCGTGGGGAAGGAAAGTCGAGGAGCTGAGAGCAGCCCCGTGTAGCGATAGCTGGCAGGGATCCGGTAATTGCACGGCGGCGGTGTGCCGTGTGTCGGTACGGGATGTGCACGGACCTTTCGCGTTTAAGAAGAGCAATTCTAACCCTTGATCAAAGCACACTCGCTTCCAGCGGCTGCTCTATTTATAAGGATGTGCGTTGTAGAAAAATGTAGAAGTGTAATCTGCTCCGTTTCACTTATAGAATGTTAATTATGACTTCTGTCTCATCTGAGAGCATTAGGGAACATTCACTGGCACGTGAAATTTGTACTTAAAGCCTGGGAAGTTCCTCTTTTCAAAGCAACTGAAAGACATTTAATTTGAAACCTTTATGTTTTTTAATAGTATGGTAAACCAAAAGCAAGAAGAAAATCAAAGCAGAAAGTTCCTTGTGTCTGGCTGTCAGAAGTTTGCAAAGAAGTTTCACAGTATAAATGAGTTGGGATTATTTACCAAAACAGCTTTGTGTTCCTTGTTTTCTTTTGCCTTGACTTAACACACCAGCGTGTGCATTAGGCTTTTTTCCCTTGCTCAGGTAGGCGAGGGCAGGGAGGGCTGCTGTGTGCATTCACTTCCATCAGGAGGGCTGGGGAACCACAGGGCAGTGCTTTCTCCCTAGGTTCACAGGGGTACCTATTGAATCATAGGTACCTGATTGAATCGTAGAATCGTTAAGGTTGGAAAAGATCACTAAAATCATCCATCATCACCACCAATACTGACTGCTCATCACGTCCTTCAATGCCACATCCACATGGTTCTTGAATACCTGCAGGAATGGTGACTCTGCCACCTCCCTGGGCAGCTGTGCCACTGCTCTTTCAGAGAAGAACTGTTTAGGACCCCATGTAAACAAGGAGGTGGTTCTCAGTGGCAGCCTTTTTTGGGAAGGGGCATAAGAGCACGGGCTTGGCTGTGTCTTTTGAACTGCTGATCTACTTTGACTTTGTATCTTGCCGTAGACCAAGTTTTTGCTGGCTGAATTTTGAAAGATCTGAACTGCTAGCTGGTTTAGCCTATCCCATTTGAGGAGAGCAGTGTGTCTCAGAACTTGTTTGTGCCCTTGCAGGCATTGAATGGGATGTGCCCCAAAATCCAAGTTGTTTATATATAGCTGGGAGAACTTTTTTTTTTCTTTCTTTCCAGTCCAACCTGGCAAAAGCCACAGTTGTTCTCTGTGTTTTTGGGTTGGGTGATTAGAATGTCATACCAGTGAGGCTGTGAAGGAAGCATTGGGAACATTTGCAGACCATCCAAAATTCTGGTTCCAGGAAACATCAACGCATTATTTCAGTGCTTGTGAGTTAATCTGTCTTTGCGTTTGCAGCTCTTCTGGCCCTGCATCCATAGTATTGTGTGAATGTGGTCCAGAGGCTGTATGTGTGTGTATGTATACGACATAACCAGTACATGTTTAGTATACAGTAGTGTATGTAAGATATATATTGCCAAATTAAACTACCTACATCCTATCCCTGACTCTGCTGTTCTGTGCAGCCTTGTCATTTATTTTTGTCCAATGAAGCTCTACTTTGGTAATTACCACATTGAACTTCTGATGCACGTACATTTGCATCTGAGCTCTGCCACAGTGTTTAAAGGTGCTGGAGCTACTTTTTTATCTTTTAAAGGCTCTTCAACACTTTTCTTATTTAGCATCATGATGGGCTTGATAGCCACTGTGTCGGATTGACCGTTTATAACCCTGAATGAAAAATGATTTTTAAACACCGTAAAACGTTATTTAGAAATCAGTGATGGAAGTTAACTGACCTATTAGATCATCCTTTCTGCTCCCCTGCCAGGGCACACGATGCCAGTTCGGAGTTGGTTTAAAGTTGGAGAAAGCACAGCTGGCAAACACAGTGTTTTCCATCAGTGCTCTTTTACACACCCTGGGCTAATGCACCGCCTCGTGGAAGTGAATGGTCACATCCCTCCTACCTGTGAGAAGGGAGATGGGCAGAGCAGTGCCTTCAGCTTGGTCGGTATAGGAACAGAATGACATGTTTGGAATTACAGCAGTCTGGCTGTATCTGTTCCTTGTTCGCAGATATTCCACCCCAGGAAAGCAGTTACCCTTTTTCTTGCTTCCTTTCTATTGGAGAGGGTATCCCCAGTGAAATATGCAACTTCTTTGTGGGTCTTAGTGATGAGACTGAGCGTCAAGTGGTGCCATTGGTCTTGTAGGCAGTTTCTTACAGCTCACATGTGCTGTATTTGTTAGGTACCTGTGTGTGTGTTCATGCATCTGCGTGCAGTTCTTGTGCTTCTCACGTAGCATTGCTATGCAGCTTCTGTACAGGTGCTCAGGGGTTCATCAGTTACTCTACAGGAAAGGTCTGTTTCTCTATCATTGCAAAAAGGTGAAAAGAAAGATATTTTTCGGATGGTTCTTCTTATTTTCCACAAGAGATAAAATACCGTTGCCCTTACTCATGCCCGATGATGAAGTGGAATTAAGCATCTCTGCAGCTAGTGAGCAGTGCCTGAGCTTGTTTGCATGAGAGTAAGGTTGGTGGTGAACACAGAGCTGGGATGACACCAGAGTTAAATCCTAGGCCAACAACATTCCTCCCCTCATATGCCTCATGGAAGGAGTCATTCTGTAACCCTTTTTATTTTGCTCTTCCTCTAAGGGTGGATCTCTGTTTCTTTCCACAGCCTCTCCCATTTTAGTTCTCCTTTCCATAGCGACTCATGCTTGATGCTCCTGTGTGATTCTTGTCCTTTAGGATGAGGAGTTTCTGTGCTGACCTCCTTTTGCAGCTCATCAGCACAATAGGTTTCATCTTAGCAAATGGAAAGGAATAGAGAGACTCTTCACTGCAAGCCCTGCCAGCCTTTGGTGACCTTTATGTGCTTTAAATGAAACGTGTCTCTTTAAGAGATAGCGGGTTGGGTCTGAATGAGCCATATCTGGAGCAGAGAAAGTTGTGTTTTGACACTGTAAGTGCTCATAGTGAGATCTACCTTCAGCTTGGCCAAACAGCAGGGTGCAAAGTCCTGCCCTGAAGTCTGAGGCCTGATGGAGTTCAGGAGGAAAGACTTTGACTGGAAGTTGTCCAAAACTATTCTGCTAGCAGAGCCAAAAACATTAACACACACACAGTTGACTGCATTTAGGCTAACCTAAGTTTGTGCACATAAAGCTCAAAGTTTCACAAGTAGCTTGAACTGGTATAAGTGGGAACTGCAGCCTCCAAGGAGGTCTCATCTGAGGTGAATGGCTGTGTTTTCTGGCTGCCCCCCTTTGCACATGGAGCTTTCTGGTCAGCGGGTTCACCAAGCAGGTAGGGAGGATAGAATTTATTTTTTTTTCCCTTTCATTCTGGGATGGCTTTTAGCTGGATCAGGTCCATGGTTTGTTTGACTGTCCCTCCCATGGGCAGCGCAGTCTTACAACACCTTAATCCTGCTGTGAAACTTTGCCCTTATCCCAGGACAAACACATGGGATGTTAGTTAAAACGTGCCTACCTGCTTGCACACCCTTTTTGTCAGAGCACAGTAACCCCTGGGAAGGGGCGAGTGATCCTGTCCCTTAATACAGGCAGGGCATGAGAGAGCACTGTGAGAAGCAGCAAAGGAGTCAGAGTTCATTTTTACTTAGCCACTCACACATATGTGCCATTTGGTTGCATATTACTCCAATATGTATAATTCATGTGAGAGATGTGCTTGGATTAACAGGGGTTTAAGGACAGGTCTGACAGCCAGGAACTGCTGACAGAAGTCCTTCAAGTGTTCAGTCTGGTGAATTGAAATGTGAGGTTCAGTCTCAGGCTGAAGCTGGGAACCTGTAGTCAGTTTTCTAGGCTGA